ACACACACACACACAGACACACACGCACAAGCACAGACACAAGCACACACACACACACAAGCACAAGCACTGATGACGATGATACCTAGTCTTAAAAGGTGTAGTTCACCCAAAAATTTTAATTAATCATTTTCTCCTGGCATTTCAAACTCATATGTTGTTACTTTTCCTTGCAACACAAAAGGAGACATTTTTAAGAAAATTTGTGCACTGTATTCCTATAGTCATATGATAGCATTTGTGTGACATACAGACTGAAATTGAAGTTGTAAATAGTCTGCCATAGCTTACAAATCAAAAATGGCACAGGATGGACATCAATTATATGAAACATCATTGGTTCTCCTGTGCCTTGTGACCTAAAAAGTAATTGACATTAAACATGATGCAAAGGCACAATGATTGATTGGAGTGCTGCTGCGAAGGGGAATATTTTTAGTCAATAGTGGCTTAAATTTTGTTCTGTTTCTCCAGTGTTGTTGTTAAATAAACTAAAACTATTAAAAAACAAGTTTTCGTTAATTGAAATAAAGCTAATATAAAAGATGAAAAACTAAAAAAATGACAATTTTAAATGTTGCCTTGGTAACTAAAATAAAAAATTTAAATGAAGGTTTATTTCAAGGTGACATACTAAAATTACTAAATTTAAAACTGAAATAAAATAAAGACAATAAATAGAAGTATTTAAAAAAAACCGAACTAATAAAAATGAAAAAAGCACATTACAAAATTACTAGAACTTAAACTGTAACTAAAATGATAGCTGAAAATAAAAGATAATTAAAAATATTAATAAATACAGTATATACAGTATTGAAGTTAAATATAAATATTTAAAAGATACTAAATAAATTTAAAATAAATGTATTCAAAAGCCACATTAATTAATTTTATTCCTTCGGTGTTGTTGTTTTTAATTAAACTAAAACTATAAAAAAAATGTTTCGTACATTGAAAAAGCAAAAACAAATCATAAATGTTAAATGAAATACAAAAACCTAAATGAAAATTGCCTTGCCTTTGCAACTAACTGAAATAATATGTACAACTAAATATTTAAACAAAGTTTAAGGTGAAGTACTGAAACTACTACAACTAAAACTGAAATAAAAATAAATGAAAGCTAAATAAAAATAATAAAATTATTACAAACGACAAAAGCCTAACAATGACAACAAAATTGCTAAAACTGAAAATAAAAGTTAATTCAAAATATTAATCACTAATAGTATATAAATAATACTTAAACAACACTGTGTACAGCTCCAGAAGACTTAGAAATAGCGTACAAGTCACTTCTTTAGTGCTTTTTGTCTCTTTTGGAGTTTTACAGTTGATCTGTTGTTGCATGAAAAAGAGTGGTGTACATATATATATTAAATTTATTCTTCTGTGTTCCACAGAAAGAAAAAACAGCATTCAGGTTTGGAACAACATGAGGGTGGGTAAATAATGAGCTATTCCTTTAAGCCGAAACGGTGGATGGAGAGGAGGAGAGAGAGGGATGAATACAGAGGAGTCTAACCCTTCTGTTTATTCGCTGTCGTTAGGTCTGCGCGTGTGCTTTACTCTCATCACTCCCACCCTTTCCCATTGGCTGCTTCCCTCTCCCACACACAGACACACACACACACACATGCACTGGCTCTGAGCTCAGACACCAGAGTTGACGTTCTCGAGCGGAGGTCGAGAGAGGGACAGATGGGATCCGCACACACACCGGAAAGAGGCACACGATGCTCCGTGCAGCACTGATCACGACCGAGACATCGAGAAGAGACTCTCGCATCGAAAAGAGGACAGCGAGACGGAGGAAAGAAGATGTTACAGAATGAGCAGGATGGGATTGAGAAACCTGAGCATCTCCGAAGCTTCCTGAAGACGACAGCAAGATCTCTTTCTAGTCTCCAGCGCGTCTGAAAAGGACAGTTTTGAACGTCTCATGCAGTTGTGCTCGGATCGAACGGGAAGTTTCTGGTGAGTAACTTTCGCTTGTTGTATAAAGGACAATTTCTTTGCATGGACTGGTCAGATCTTATAGTTTCCAAAGGAAAGGTGCTGTGGTTTATGTTTTGATTGTCCACATGTGCAAAAGTCAAAGCGCAAGCGTTAAGAGATGATCCGGCTGGATCTGAGCAGCTGTGCTCTACCAAAATGATGAGATCGCACGGATGGGAAGACAAAACAGCCCAGTCAGTTCTTCAGCCTCCACACACACACACACACACACACACACACACACACACACAGTCAAACATATCAGTGCTTCATTGCATTCATGCTGACAGAAACTGAAAGCACACAGTTTTTGATATCGTTTTGTCGGGTCAGACGAGAAACGACATGAAAGTCGGGTTGCTTTGAAAAAAACTGATGTTCAGTTGTACTAAATTCGCCAGGTACAAAAGCACTTCACCCTGAATTCAAAGGACATTGTGAGTCAGTGTGTGTGTGTCGTGAATATAACAGAATGAAAGTGCAACGCTGAGAACTAGAGGTCATTGCAGATTCACAGCCTTGTGTTGTGGGGAGCTGGTCGATTAGTTGGTTTAGGTAAACATATGTGTTGACTTTAATGTTAAAAGTCTTAACACCAGACATGTCAGATGTGCAAAGTGGTCTTCTTTAAGCAGTGTTGGGAAGGTTACTTTGGAAATGTAATAGGTTATTTAATTACACATTTTTTCTTAGTAACTGTAACTGATTACAGTTACATTTATTTTGTAATTAAATTACGTAACGCCGTTACATGTAACTAGTTACTCCCCAACACTGTCTTTAAGTCAGTGGCAGGCAAATTGAGGCAATTACCTGGCCATAAGTATTGTTTACTGGCCTTGAAACTGTATTTTGCTTTATGTGCCTTTCAAAAGTTTGGGGTCAGTAAGATTTTTATTTATTTTTTTTAAATAAATGAACACTTTTATTTATCAAGGACGCATTAAATGGATCAAAAGTGACAGTAAAGACTTAAATTGTTACAAAAAGGTTCTATTTCAAATAAATGCTGTTCTTTTAAACCTTCTATTCATCAAAGGATCCTGAATTAGGTTTTCCCCAAAAATATGAAGCAGCACAGCTGTTTTCAACACGGATAATAACCAGAGATGTTTCTTGAGCAGCAAATCAGCATATTAGAATGATTTCTGAAGGATCATGTGACACTGAAGACTGGAGGAATGATGCTGAAAATTCAGCTTTGCATCAAAGGTATAAATGTCATTTTACAATATGTTCAAATAGAAAAGTGATTTTAAATGGTAATAATATTTTATAATATTTCTGTTATTACTGTATTTTTGATTTAAATAAATGCAGCCTTTGTGAGCAAAAGAGACTTTAAGAAACATTAACAATTTTTTCCCCCCACACAAGTCATTGTGTCACTCTCAGTATCATTCATTATCTAGTGTCTTGGTGAAACCGATAAGAGTCTCGCTTTTGTCAGAATAGGAAAATATAAAAATGAGGGTTAGATAAGTTGCCTTTTGCAATTTTAATCATGCATTATGCTTAGTGTTTGTATCTATTTAAATCACTCACATCAAAGGTGTCAGTCTGTCATTATTATGTTGCGATTCATAGATTTAAAAAAACCAAACAAGCAAAGTTCAAAGTATCATTTTAATATTGCGGTTTTAAACCATGAATTATGCAAAAAATTTCACCCGACTTGATTTTATCCATTTGGAATTGACTGGAAAGTGGGCGTGGCATAACCGAATAGAGTAAGCTGATTGGAGGGCAAGGCTCAAATATTTATGATGTCATCCGAAAAGGAAAGCCAATTCAGAAAGGACAACATGAAGACAAACATGAATTTATTTGTAATAACATGCACAACATGAATCGTGCACAACAGGACCTGGAAGGTTTAAGGCATCAAGAAAGTAAATGGGGTTAATGCTGATTTCATGCTGACTATGATTTTGGCCCGTTCATGTAGATATTTAATCTTCATGTTGTGCTTCCAAAAACCTGCTGCGGAGAATCTGTAAACAGCACTGAGATTCACAAACTAGGTTCTCCATTAACCATGAAGCCGGTTTAATGCATGTACTGTCAGACACTGTTTGTGTCACTCATTCATCGTCTGTCCGCTGTGTCAGTCCCGCTCTGCATTCATTCGCATCTCGCTGTGAAGTTGCTTTCTTCAGGAGATCACATCACATCAGCACTCCAGATGCACTTTTGGCTTCCAACCAGACACTTAACCTTCCTTATCCTCCTCAAACCTTCCACCCCAATCATCTCTTTCTCTCTCTTTCACTGTGTTTCATCGCTTCCATGCTTGTAGACTCGGCCAAAACAGTGGATTTTCACTCTAGGGTTCTCGTATGAATGGGATCTGGAGTTGATAGTTTAGAGTTGATTATGGTCATTTTAAAATGAGATTCCCAGCAATTAGCCAGCTGGGCTCAGCGCGTGCTGGACGCAGGTCGTTATCGGCCCAGTGGGCGGAACCAGCGCACTTTAGGACCTGCCAAATGAAGCATTTGGGAAGAGTATGTTCATCTAATCCCACCAATCAAAGCATTAAGGATACGTAAACAAGACGTCGTTGAACCAAATGGTCAGGGTTTGACTGGTTAGCACGGTCCAGTTAACTCCTGCTGGTAGATGGCGTAACTACAAGCCTTAATATCTTGTGCAATTTAGCTTTTTTAAAGTAAAAGCAGTTAATTTTAAGGACATTTCAATGTGTTTTACTGCAAAACAAGAACACTGAATACAGAAAATTTGTTGATGCTTATTCAAAAGTATTTTTTTTGTAAGCAAAATATAAATCTAAAATAGATTTATATTGTTAGATTACAGGCCTTAATATCTTAGGCAATTTTGCTTTTTAAAATAAAAAACATTTTATTAAGGTCACTTAAATATTTTTACTGCAAAACAAAAACATTGAATAGAAAAAAAAATACATACGTTTTCGTTGATGCTCATTCAACATATTTAATTTTTTTTCCTAAGCAACATATAAATCTAAAATATTTAATTATATTTTAAATGAAGCTTTTAAAGCTTTATATGTGGGGATTTTTTATTTTTTAATTTTAATTTATTTTCATACATTAAATAATTTAGATTTTCACTATTTATTAAAATAATTTTAATAATACTGTAAAAAACGTACGTAAGCTTGACTTATTGATCACATAAGTTTTTCCATTTACTTTAACTCAAGTATCAAAATGATTTAAAACCAGTTTCAACTTTTGTTTTTAAAGTCAGTTATTTATGTTGAAATGACTAATGAAGGCAATTTGATTATACTTAAGAATTTAAGGCCTTAAATTCCTGTCCTTTCTGTTAAATGTGACAATTTGTCGATGAGGCAGTGTTTATTTGTTTCAGGCTTAGTCACAGAGAAATGTGCATTTTAAATGTCCATCCGGAGTTTGTTTACAAGCGCTTCTCATCTCTTAATTTCTAATTGATAGCACTGTTGTTGTGACATAGGCCTGATCATTTAGCCAACCAGTGCATTTTTATTTATTCATGCATGATATTTTCATCCTTAATCTTTAATGCTGCTGCAATCCTGTTGTGTGACAGATCTGTTCTGTTGGCACATGCACGTCAAGGAGATCTCATGTGCTGGTTTTCATTTGGAGCCTCTGCTCCAGATGCAGTACGGCACTGAGATGTTTCCAGGCAGATGTTAAAGCGACATTCAGGAGATGCTTTCATGATGCTTGTGATTGAGAGTATGGGAATTGGCTGTTTTTGTGATGTTTGTCCACAAAACACAACTGAAATGTAATCCATTGCTATTAAGTTGAATCACTCTAACAGGTGTGTGTGTGTGTGTGTGTGTGTGTGTGTGTGTGTGTGTGTGAGATATAGAAGACATATGATGGTTTTAGAATGGATTTGAGCACTTTTCAACTTGTCAGGCTTTGAGACCAGATGCTGGTCAGTTTTATTTTAGTAAACTACACTGTAAAAAAAAAAATCCGTAAAATTTACGGTAGCTGTGGTTGCCGGAATTTTACCGTAAAAAATATGGTAGCAACGTTTTAGGTTTTACGGTTTTAACTTAAATTTACAGTTTCATTAACTGATATAATGTTAATATACCAACCTTATTGAAGTACTGAAATCTGGGTTGTACCTTTGTAATACACTGATAACCACCAAATGCAGGTGGT